CAGTTGAATGACTTCCCTTTTCTGGTCTTCAGTTACCTCCCCTATAAAATGAGGAGAGGAAACTAGATGGGTTCTAAGATCCCTTCTAATTCTAGAATATTTCATGATTCTGGGAACTATCAACACCAAGATAAGCTTATATGTGTAAACATAGGGCAGTGGGGCTATTTGAGAATCTGCATATATATTGGGGTAAGACTATACACGAATCAGGTGGTGTTTTATATATTTGTCTTTGAGCTGTAGTGGTGATGATGATGATAATTATACCATGGAATCACCAAAGCTCAGAGACTAAAGGGTCAGCTAACCCATTTGAACAAAGCTCCCTTCTATACATCTAACAAATGGTCTTTCAACTCTTCTTGAAGACCTCCTGTGAGCAAAAACCTATGTCCTCCCAAAGCAGTTCATTCCACTTTTGGACAACCCTGATCATTGGGACATTCTTCTTTGACCTCACGCCTAAATATGCCTTTGTATACCTTGTTTCCAGTTCTGCCTTCTGGGGGCAAGACGAAAAAGTCTGATCTCTTTCTCACATGACAAGCCTTCTAATGTTTAAAGGTAGGTATCATGACTTCTAATCCCTTGCCAAGCCTGGCCTTCTGTAAATTAAACATCCCTAAGTTCCCTCAACTAATCCTCCTATAACATAAATTTAAGATCCCCCTCCCCTGCTCTAACAAGGTGCTGGATTTGGAGTCAAAGGTCTCTGGTTCAAATTCCAGCCTTGACCTGGGCGATGCGAAGAAAATAACTGAATGCCCTTGGGCCTCAGTCTTCTCTCTGTCAAATGACCCCTAGGCATTCTCCCAACTCTGAATCTATGACCATCCTGGAAATCTATTCCACTCTTGAATAGTTCTAATTGTACTTAAATCTAATTCACTTGCATGTCATGGCATCACCTCCCTGATGTCATGGTCCTCTTCGAGAACAAAGGACAAACAACAACTGTTCTAATTGTTTGGAAGCTTCTCCTTACATCAAGCCTAAAGTCTCCTCTTTGTGACTGTCCTCTCTCCTTCCCCTCTCCCCTCTACTCAGGTTTCCCCCTTCCACAGGCTAAATACCCCCATTTCCCTCAACCAATTCTCATATGGCGTTATGTTAACGCCCTTCAGTAGAGAATAATGAAAACAGCCCATTCTTAGTCTATATTGAGAAGCAAATCATTATCTGCCTTTCCAGGATAGCTAACAAGTATAAATCAATACAGAAATAAATCTTCATGTAGTTTTATGAAATGAATCACTATCCCATGAAACATTCTAATAGATTTAATGAAGCTAGAAGCTCACCTCCTCTCTTCTGCCCTGTCCCCCTTCCCAAAATTAAGCCTACAGACCCAGCAATTAAACTCCAGCAAAATAGAAAATCTCTCTTCCAGGTGTAACCTGTCTGCAGCTCTCCATCACTGCAGCGCTTGGATCAATAAGAAAGATGCAGGCAAATAAAGCCCCATATTGGGAGGGTTTCTTGGGCAGTAGATTCCCCAGCTGGGAGTTTGCAAAGTCTTCCTCTTCCCCAGCAGAAATCCAGGCCCCTGATTCTAAAGCTCTCCTTTCCTCATTCCCCTGGGCGTAAAATTGGTCTCAAAAGAATTGGGCAAGGGCCCGCAGCCTCAAAATCAAACCAAAAGGGCCCCTCTGGGGCTCTCACAGAGCCTATTATCTGCTCCTTTTGGCCCAACTCCAGGTCTGAGACGTTCTGTCGATAGAGTGTAAATAATTCCTTGGTGGCTGCAGCTCTCAGCATGCAAGGAGCCCATGAGGTGACCTGATACTCGCTTATTGAGTTAGGGGTGAAGACAGGCCAGATACAGCACAGGACACTAACCACACCCACAGGACACATTCATCGGAATCAAATTCCAGAGTCATGTTCCTAGGGTGTCCCTAGAATTCCCCAATCCAATACGTGGCCTTGGCGTTGGCTAGAGGTTGGCAAACATTCTCTTGTCCCCATTTCTGCCACTGTGCATGGAATTCTGGAGACCAAAATATGACTCCTGAGAATATGAGCTCTCCAGGCCTGGCACCCCAGAAGAGGAACTGCACTGCAGTGAAACCCACTACCCTGCTCCACCATTTTCCTAATGGTACTTCCCCGTCATCCCCTTGGATACATCCCTACAGATTTCCTGGGAGAGCAGCAGGCTTGGGAAACAGTTTCACCTTTACCAACTCACAGGCCTGACACTGTGGGACTCACATCCCATGGAGGTGAGTAGGGTGTCTATGGGGTCATGGAAAGAATATTAGGCTTGGACACAGAAGTCTTGGGTTCAAGCTCTGACCCTGTCATTTAAAAGCTGGGTTTTTGTTATTGTTGTTCAGTTGTGTCCAACTCTTCATGGCCCCATTTGAGGCTTTCTTGGCAAAGATATTGGAGTGGTTTACCATTTCCTTCTTCTCCAGGTCATTTTTACAGATGAGGAAACTGAGGTAAACAGGGTTACATGACTTGCCCAGGCTCACACAGCTAGGAAGTGTCTGAAGCCAAATTTGAACTCAGGAAGAGGAGTCTTCCTGACTCCAGGTCCTGCACTCAATCCACTGCACCACCCAGCTGCTCCTAAAAAGCTAGATAGGCCTGGGCAAATCACTTTGACCTTTCATCCATTCTTAATTGAGGGGTAGGCAGAGAGGGGTGTGATAAAGGCACTGGATTAGGAGCAGTCAGGAGACCTAGGTCCAAGGTTGTGCTCGAGCCAACTCAAAGCTTTCAAGAATCAATTGTTAAATTTTTAATGTGAACATTTATACCTCGTAAAGCAGCAAATGCCACAAATCAGAGCTTGATTTATGGCTTTGTTGATTGTCTAGAATTTAAAAAGTGATGGGGAACATGTTAATAATACAGATTAGGATAAAAAATGTATGGCCCATACATTATCTTTTCTTCAGAGAGCCAATTGTTAAACATTTACCAGCACACTCCTGCCTGGGTCCAATTCCCCACTCTACCAAAGCACTTTAAAACTGTAAATTGTTGCAATAGTTATATTATCTACCTGGGAGAAACAAGCATTTACTAAACACCTACTGTATGCCAGAAACCATGCTGAGAGAGTTACAAGTATTATCTCATTTTATTACCTTACAGGGTTGTCATGAGGAGTAAAGGAGACAAGTGTTCTTATCATAATAACATTTCTTGAACTGAATAAAAACAGTACATTTCACTATATGACTTTGATGGTTTCTATGAGATCATGCACATAATTCTATCACAGACCACATATTTAGAGTTAGAAGGGATATTAGTCATCATCAAGTCCATCAAATCAATCAGCCTCATTTTACAAATGAGGAAACTGAGGCCCATAGGGGTTAAGTGACTTGCCCAGGGTCACACAGCTAATAAATGTCTGAGGCAGAATTTGAACCCAGGTCTTCTTGATTTTGAGTCCAGCACTCTATCCACTTCTAACACTGCACCATACTGCCTCTCATGCTGCATGTAGCCATGTTATAATAATAAAATTTTTATTGTATTTTAGGGTTTGGGGGCAGCTAGGTGGCATGGTGGATAGAGTGCTGATCCTAGAGTCAGTAAGATTTGAGTTCCAATCTACCCTCAGTCACTGTGTGACCTTGGGCAAGCCACTTAACCCTGTTTGCCTCAGTTTCCTCATCTGTAAAATGAGCTGGAGAAGGAAATGGCAAACTGCCCCAGTATTTTTGCCAAGAAAACCCCAAACGGGATCACAAAGAGTCAGACATGACTGAAACAACTGAACAACAAATTTTAGGGATTATGCAGCACTTTCCTTACGAAGAAAGAGAATCAGTGAGCCTGGCACAGAGAGCAAGTTGAGTTTAGGAAACCAGGAGACACTTTTTTTTTCTACCCAGGCAGCAAGATAGAAAGAAGACTCACTGCATTTGGATTCTGAGGATCTGGGTTCCAAGTCTGGCTGCATGACCTTAGGCAAGTCACTTCTGGGCCTCAGTTTCCTCTTCTGCAAAATGAGGATGCTGGACTAAATGGTCTGTAAGATCTCTTCCTGCTCTAGGTTCTATGAACCAGTGAAACCTCAACTGGAGCTTCCTTTCTGCAGCTCCAAATTACACGTCTTTCACCCCCACACGTCTCTGATTGCGATCTCGTGGAAGACTTAACATAGCGAGAGCCCAACTAGCCCTTGGTTCAATGGTCTATATCAGGCTTTGTATTCTCTGTATTTGTGGGGAGGAGGGAAGAGAGAGGGAGTGAGGAGGCAAGAGGTGGACAGAGCTGGAGAAGTGGTGGCCCGCTGCCCTTGGAAACTTTGGCATTCTGGGACTCTGCCCAGCTGGCTTCGTAGAGGTCATCGAGTCCACGTGCTCAGCTGAGCCTCTCGTCTTTTGTTTCGTCTTTCTGAGAGTAGTCATCTCTCTGCTCCTGCTAAAGTCCAGATCCCTGTGGCCAGGGATGCGATCCTTCACCCTCTACCACCCATTTGAACCCAAGGATGTTAGCTAACTTCTTCTCTCCCAAAGAAATAATCATCTGCAATTCATTCCTGGCTCCCACAAGGCTGGTCTTTGCTACCCTCGTTCCTCCATGCTCAATCTGAAGGAGAATCCAATTTTATCAACATCTGATATATCAAACACTCATTCACTTCTCTTCTCCTCAACCTCAACAGAATTCCTAGATAGGTTGATGGCCAGGACAGTAGATTATCTAATCATCTTCCAAAGACTCCTCTTCCTCCTAACTTTCCAAGATCATTTTCTAAATGCACTGGCAGGGAACAAATGGACCGTCTCAAAGAAGCCTCGGCAGGAGACATGAGCCTAAACATTCCCTTGGTTTTAGCCGCAGCCTCTACCATTGAGGAAATCATTTGTAAAGGATTTCGCAAACACTGATGGGAAGGACCCCTCTCTGGCTTGGTACCCTTGGCCCACTGCTAAGTTAATGAAGGCAGTTTCCCAACGTTCCCTAAATTAGACAAGGCAAAAACTATTCTCCAGAAAGAAGCAGTCCAAGGAGATGCCACCTACCTGGTTACAGGTGTTAATATCTACCCCATTCCGCAGGTGATCCAAAGCTTTGTCCAAGTTCCCCGATCTTGCTGCCCTCAGAAAACTGGTAGCAGCATCGGCCTATGGAGAGAAAAAAATGACCGACCGTGAGTCGCTCATCCATCCCACTGCCGACACCATCAGATTACGGGCCACAGGCCCAGCAAAAGTAATGGGAAGCAAGATAAACCTCGAAGCCTTTAGCAGAAAAGCGAGAAGGTCAAATAACGACACTCCATGTCTGTTTGAGAACCAAATAAAGGAGCACTGTTCTGTGCCTCTGACAGACAGAGAGACAGATGACATTAAATGCCAGGCCGAGGGGGCTGAACAAAAACTGACAAGTTGAGACTAGCCACTGGAGTCTTCCTTGTGGCTGGGGAGCAATTTGTCCTCTTAGAGATTCAGCCAGGAGAGGCTTTCACCCACAGTGCCCTCAGAATGGATTTCACTAAAGTCCTCCTCCAATGCTGAATCATGGCTTGGGGGTGGCTTTGAGTTCTCAAAGGCTGAGTCAATGAAACCCAGTCCTGGAAGGCCCTATCCCCTGCTGGAAAAATTTGGAGTAGAGGCACGAGGACACACTGTTTCTTTGGATATAGGACCAGCCTAGCGGAGTTTCGAGAGGCTCACCATTAGGTTAGCAGCTGATAGAGGAATATTTTGTCCAGTGTAACTCTTAAGGCCATCTATTAAGTTTGTAGAGGGGTCGTGATCGGCATCATTGTAGACAGCACCCACACGGATGAAATCACAGTCTTAAAGTACTATCTAATATATAATGTACAAAGGTATTTATGTGTGTATATCTATCTATCTCTGTCATAAAATATGGGGCAGTTAGGTGACTCAGTGGATAGAGTGCTGGGCCTGGGGTCAGGAAAACTCGTATTTGTGAGTTCAAATCCAGCCTCAGACACTTACTAGTTGCGTGACCTCAGGCAAGTCAATGAACCCTGTTTGCCTTGTTTTTCTCATCTATAAAATAAGCTGGATATGGAAATGGCAAACCATTCTAGTATCTTTGCCAAGAAAACCCCAAATGGGGTCATGAAGAGTTAGATACAACTGAAAAATGACCAAACAACCAAAATCATGAAGTATAAGTTTACTAAATGTTATTCTTCTTTGCAAAAGAACCTTTATTAAAAGTGAAACAAAGTGAAACAAAGCAAGTTACTTAGTTATGCGTATGATGTGATCAGATCATCTTGAAAGTATTCCTCTTAGTATGAACTCATTGTTTTCAACTCTTGGGATGGTCACAATTTAATATTACTCCAACTACTTCAAAGGTCTTTCAAATTCCTTTGGCTGCTAATGTTTATTTTTAATGAAGTTTATGTTACCATCCTGTTCAAAGTACCATAATAATTTTTAAAGGGAAAGGATACTAGAGATTCCTATAACAATATTATAACTCACATACGGGAATGTGAGTGTATATAACAATACACCAAAGGTATAATTGGCTGACTCTAAAACAAACCTCTAAGCTTGATTTTTCCTTTCCGAATCTCTAAGTTGTTATGATATATGCCCACTAGATTTTCAAAGGAAATCAAACCTTTCCCTCCACTGCTGCAATGAAGGAAGCAATAAATTTTATCTCTTTTCTGAACTATTCAACTCAAGTCAAGCTATAGTTATTGAACACCTACTATGATTAAGATTATTGTAATAACTTTTTAACTGGTTTCCCTTTTTCATTCTTTCTCCTTTCTAAACTATTTTCCACAGAGCCACCAAAACACTAGATTCATCACTCTACTGCTAAAAAAAAAAGAAAAAAGTTTTGGTGTCTCCCTTTTGCCTCTTGGATAAAATTCTTTGCCTGGCATTTAAGGCCCTTTACTGTGTATTTCCAATATACTATGATATAGTAGAAAGGGGACTTAGTTTCAAATCCTACCTCCCCAAGCCTCAGTTGCCTCATCTATAAAATAAGGGGATTGGGGGTAGGTGGATTCTAGGGTTCCTTCTAACTCTAGAGATCTATAATCCTATGATCCTATACCTTTTTAGTCTTATTTCATTTTATTCTTCTTTACACACTCAATATTCCAATCAAATATGACTTACTAAGCTATTCTTTGAACTCAATGACAAATCTCACTGCCATGTATTCACAAGGCCTTCCCCTTTCCTGGCACATACTCCCTACCCATCTTTGCTAACATCCTTCTCTTTCTTCAGAATTTTAGCTCAGGTACCCCATCCAGTGAAGATTAGAAGGCTATTTGCTGGAGATATTGTAGTAGTGATTCTAGTTCAGATATGTGTTGGATCTGATGAGCAGTGAGGTACCTTCCAACTCTGAAATTCAATGTTCATAAAAACCACAGGGGACTGAAAGGTCTCTAAGGGCAAATTTGTGGGAGAGGGTGGATCCAATCACTGTTGGGTGAAACCAAGTCTCCTGACAGCCCTTCATTTGATTTTTAAATCTTATATCTCAAGATTCCCATTCTTCACAGAATTTCATAGTTGGAACAGACCTTAATGGCCATTGGGTCCAATCCATACCTGAGCTACAATCCCTTTTGCAACACACCCAGAAAGTAGTCATCCACCCTTTGCATGATGACCTCCAATGAGAGAGAACTCATTGCTCTCAAGGCAGCCCATTCCACTCTTGGATAACTCTAATTTTAGGAAATTTTTCTTTATATCAAGCCTAAACTCACTTCTTTGCAATGTCTACCTGTGGTCTTAGTTCTGCCTTCTGGGGCCAAGCAGAACAAATCAGATCTAATCCTTCAATAGCCCTTCAAGTACATGAAAATGAATCGATCAGTAGGCAAGCCAGTGTTTCTATGGCAGGTGCTGAAAATACAGAAACAAAAGTGAAAAAGTCCCTACGTTGTATCGGAGACAATCAGTCAGTCAGTAAACATTCATTAGGGGCCTACTTCAATTGAGCTAAGTGCTGGGGATACAAAACTTCATTGAGCGAGGGAAGGGGGTGACCATATTCAGACCCTTTGGAGGCTGTGAGGAAAATGTATTGGAACTTGGGGAGGCTTGAGACAGGGAGACCAAATAGGTGCCTATTGTAATAGAAGTGATGAAGTCCTGAAATAGGGTAGTGGCCAAGAGAATAGAGAGCAAGGGGCATCTATGAGAAATATTGTAGAGGTAGAAATGAGAACTGGTAACTGATTAGATATAAGGGGTGAGTGAGGGTGAGGAGGTGAGGCCAACATTGAGACTGTAAACTTAGCTATGTGGAAGGATGATGATACCCAAGATAATAACAGTAAAATTTGGAAGAGGGTTATGTTTGCTCTGCCCTAATTCATTCTTTTTAACTTAAAAGAAATTTTATGGGCAAATAGACCATTGACTTGGGAGGAAATGAAATTAGCAATAAAAGGGCATTAATAACCTGGTGCAAGTCTAGAGGACAACCAGGTGGATGAGGGGATTGTACACCGTTAAAGGGGCAACATTGGAAGGGGCTGGGGGTGTTTAACGTGAAGAACACATGACTTAGGGGGTGGAGGTGGGGTGGGGGTGGAAGCTTGGAACACTCCTGTTGTCTTGAGAGGTAACATGATAAAGAGGAAAGAGAGATGAGATCAGAGAAACTGATCTGAATCTCAGCTCCACTCCTCTCGTCAAAGTGAAAGAGTTTCATTTCCAGGCTGTGGTTCATCTCCCTAATTCCTCTTTGTCCATATAGACCACGTAACCACAGAGAACACTTATTTATCTTGGATATAAAGGACCAACTAGAGGTAGCATGAACCAAAAAAATAAATAAACACCACCAGGTTTTGTGGTTTCTTTTCCTCACGTTAAGAAAGGGCAGTAAATCAGGTGGTAGGCCATACGTGACTACTTTTTTACCACATTCTTTCAAAGTATCAGAATCTAGCAGCTTCGTTTTTCCTTCTGGCCATCCTATGCTTCTTTCCCATCATTTTTCTTGTTCACACAATTCGTCTGTCAGCCAACAAACCTTTATTTGGCCTTTATTATCCCAAGCATTCAGTGCTGGGACTGCAAAGGAAGGGAAAAAAAGAGTCCCTACTCTTAGGGAGCTTATGTTCTAATGAGTGCGAATACATGTGAATAACTAGGTACAAATAAGATATACTCAGACTAAAAGGTAGGATTTGAAACTAAGACCCCTTTCTACTAAATCATCTTGTACTGGAAATACACAGTAAAGGGCCTTAAATTCCAGGCAAAGAATTTTGTCCAAGAGGCAAAAGAGAGACATCAAAGCTTTTTATTTCTTTTAGCAATAGAGTGATTTCTACCTCCCCTCTGAGGGGAAGGTGCTGAGGAACTAGGGAACTGGGACAGGCCTCCTACAGCAGATGGAATTTGAGCTCAGTCTTGAAGGAAGCCAGGGAAGCAAAGACACCAAATTGAGAAGGATCCTTTCCAAGATGGGGGGCGGCCAATGAAAAGGTACAGAGTCAGGAGATATAGTATCATGTGGGAGGGATAGCAAGGCCAGTTTCATAGATCGTAGAATGTGTAGAGAGGGCATAAGGCATAAGAAGGCTGAGAAGGTGCAAAGAGGTCAAGTTATGAAGGGCTTTAAATGCCAAAAAGACGATTTTTATATTTGATCCTGGAAGTAATAAAGAGCCATTGGAGTTCATTTAAGATGGGTTGGGGTGGGGATGACATGGTTAATTGAGCCTATGGTTTAGAAAAATCACCTTGGTAGCTAATTGGAAAACAGATTTCAGGAGACCAGTTCCAGGGCTATTGCAATAGTTTAGGCAAGAGTTGGTGAGTTCAGCCACGTTAACAGAGAGAAGGGGACGTATAAGAGAGATGTTATGAAAGAAAAAAATGACAAGACTGGACAATAGATTGGATATATGAGGTGAAGAGAATGACAGAATGAGGATGACACGGAAATTGTAGGCCTGCGTGACTGGGAGGATGTGCCATTTTGTTCAGCTAAAGGGTTGTCATCTTTGAAAGTGGAGTAAACATGTTCTACTTGGTCCCAAGAACAGAACTAAGAGAACCAAGCAGACAAATTTCAGAAAAAATATTTGATGTTACAGTTGCCCAGCAACAGAACAGACTATCCTGTAAAGTAGTGAATTCCC